TTAAAGTCACAAAGAATGTCCGGCTATTCTTGTTGGATTAAATGGATGGTCACTTACTGAAGTCTTCAAAAAGCACTTACACTCTCGAAGTTTTCTAACTAAAAAGATGTTGGTCTTTCTTTTGATAATGATTACAAGAATTAAAAAAATTTAAGCAAATCTATTTATATAGTATATTATGTTTGATAAAGTGGAAAAATTATTTGTTTTTGATTTATGTATTGTACATTTAACTTTTCTCAGCAAATTTTTAAAGCAATAAATAACATTGAAATGAGGGCATTTATATATATAAATAATTCAAATGTCTGCTAATTTAAAGAAAAAAATCCTTGCTTAAATATATTTACGGAATAAAAATGTAACATTATTTTATCATATATGCAAAATGACTTGAGCTTTAGTTATTTTTAGATACACAGAATAGTGATTAAATAAAAAACAATGATGTATTCTTAAATCAGAAAATTCAATACTACGTTGTTAGCAGCAACAATTTATTGTAAGATCGTGTTTCGATTTAATTGAAATTTAAATGAAATGTAGCAAATTTATGCCATTGTACATATATTTCGGAAGACTTAACAAAAGCTTATGTCAAGCTTAAGCTGTTGTAACGCTGAATGGAAAAAATAAATTTCCTACGTTCAGATGCGTTGATTTTCTTTTGCTCCCCTCCTTTTAACTTTTCCGCATTCTGTACATGGAAGAGCTTAAAATAAAATGTATAGAAAACTTAATAAATTAAAAGTTTCTAATTTAAAATATTTTTAACATAATCTGAATATTTTCTGTTACATGTAATTAAAAATAAAAATTATAATGAGCAAATGAATGAAATATGTTAGGACATGCTTTTCTATTTAATACAGTATGTAGAGGTGCTGGTTGTCGTATCATTAGGCCCAGACTCATATCCTAGAGGAGGCTTGCATAATTGTTAGTGTACAGTGTATGGGAGATATGAAAGCACTTAAAATACAAGACGGGACGGAAGTTCTCTCGAGAGGCTTGGTGGTAGGGAAAAAGCGGTAGGAACCCGCTGCGTCCGTCTTTCGGATGTTTCCTTTCTAAATTAGGACGGAGAAGGTCAAAGTCATCCTGTCACCTACAAAGGGACCAAAGTGAATGTTAGCGACAGATGCAATTCTGCGCTTCTCGCAATGTTAAAGTTCATAAACTTGTTGTAAAGTTACGGTCAGACAAGAGACATAGCTTATAGTGGATTGGGACATTAATAGAAATACAAAGAAAAACAGACATAATACTGTAAAAATGATAGATGTTCGTTCAAACTTTTTTCTGAGAGTTTTGACTGAAAACTTACTATTGTTAGGAGCTCCACCATTTCAGTTTTTTCACATTATGACCAAAAATATTGTGATAGCTATGTAATTGTTATTATTATTTACGTGTTCTGCCTTAAGGCACTAACTACACAAAAGGGAGGGATGGACTTCATGGAGGACTTTTTAAGGGTAACTGGCTCGTATTAACAGGTTACACATGGAAAAAAAACACAAAAACGCCCATGCAGCCACCCAGTCAGCGGGATTCGATCCTCGGACCAAACTACCAGTGTTCAGGGACTTTACCGCTCAACCGCTGGTGAGCATTAGCTAAGTAATTTTGTTTTATTTTTTATGAATTTAAATAAAACATGCAACGTTAAAACAATTTTAGATATACAGTTTATGAATATATAGAATAGTAGTGATTCAACAGAACTGTTGGGAAATTTGCATTTCTCCCTTGCTGCTGTGAAGTGTTGATGACACATAAAGTTCAACGCTATACACACTGCCAAGGCAGAAGCCAAGGTGTCTTTGCGGGCCGCAGAAGATTACGTGTACTCCAGACTTCCTAGATATCTACGTGGACAGTAGCGATAATTCTCTTCAGCATGGTATGCGATATGATGTACAGAATCCTGATATTGGAAGGATCTGTCGAAGATTACAATGGAGATAGGAATCTAAATATTCAAACTAGCATTTATATGAAGTTTCCTGTGGAACTGTTAGCCAACTACCTGCGAATATACCAGTCAAGTTAATCAACTTTCATCCATCCCATCTTCTTCATATTATGCTTGTTCCCTGCATGTTTTAGGTTGGCATATCCTGTTCATCTGTTTTGTAAAGGTCAAGGAAAGCACTCATTAATGTTTACGTTTAACTTAGAGCACGTGTGCTCTCTGGTAAGGAACCAAGTTTCCCACTACGCGAAAACAATCATCATCACCAAATTAAAATTCAGCAAGAACGAACATATAGGTTATTACTTCAAACCAACACTTGGATATTATTTATTGCACACTGCGTAGCATGACAGATACTTTTCTCATGTAATCGCTATGTCAAATGAGCCATTTTTTAGAGAAGTGAATCTTGCTCTAATCGATGCTCAGCTTAATAAACTTTTATCTCCTCTAAAAAGAGACATTTCGTCATTTCTCTTTTCACACATTCCTAACTCTGAAACCTGTAACTACTAACCTGTCCCTTGAGAAATGGGAAGAGGTGAAAATCACTTGCCGCTCGATCAGGACTACAGCCAGATGGTCCAACATCTTCCACTGAAAAGACTGCAGCATTTATCTTTTACCTAGAATTAAATGTTGTTCACCTCTTCTCAAATATAAAGAAACTTCTTGGTGACTATAGATTTCAAAACTGCAGCTCCATGTTCAGGACAATACTATCTAAACACTTACCCCACAATTAAATAAATACTTCAACGATGTCGTTTTAATGCGAGGAAATGTGGTGCGCACTGTAAAACACAGTCTGTCATACATTATAAATCAAATTACACTTTTAAAATCATAAACCTTGGATTTCTTTCATTATGCTGCGTGTTGTAGAAGTATTACTAGATAAAAAATACAACGGCAATAATTAACGAAATAACATCAGCTGAGTTAAATTAGTAATTATACAGTTTTATCTGTTTCTAAATAAATATTTAAAGTCGCAAATTTAATTGCTATATTTGAATACAGAAATAAATTAATAATTTATAAAATAAATTGTTTATTTCATCTAAATTCATAAAATATTTCCGACAGCCATATTTATTTCGTTATTCAAAAATTAATAACTTTTTTTTTTTTTTAAAATTTTATTTATTCTCACAGAATTTTTGTAGTTTAGCATGCAAGAAGTTGTAGAAATCCTAAAATTAAAAAATATATATATATAATGCTTATTTTCTTATTAAATGAGCCCACTAGTCTGCAGTTTGCTAAGACACTGAACACTGCTGATTCGACTCGGGTTCAAATCCTAGCAAAGAAGATAATTTCATAGGCATTTTCGTAAATTTTCCTATTACTGACATGAAAACAAGCCACTTTTCCTCAGAATGTGCTACACAATAATATTGTCCCCTTTACACAGATAAAGACGAAGCTCACGAAAATTATCATTTAAGAAAATTTTATTAAACGTGACATCTATTTTGGTTTATTTGTTTACGGCAAAGCACACAAGAGCTATCTACCTAGGGGAATTTATGTAATCCTGGAGGACTTTCTAAACGAAACTGCTTCCTATCTACGTTACACGTAAGAAAAACCACCACACAAATAGCCCGTTTCTAGATTTGGAACCTAAGTAGAAATACAATATTCAGCGACTTTACCGTTTGGCCACTGGCCGACTAATGTGGAATCTTAATTACTCAAAATGATGCTAAACTGTTATATTCTTTCCTGTAACTCATTCTTTCAAAAAATGTTCATTTTATCGTGTTTAATAATTGCGAAATTTATTACATTTATTGAAGTGAATGAAACCTACTTTGTAAATCTCATCAGCAACGATTAATTTAAATCAGAACAATGCTTTATTAATTCAACAGTCAGACTTGAATTTCTTCTTAAAATTAATATCGACGATTTAAAAGAGAAGAATGTTACATCTCATAAATCAGTGACTTTAGCTGAAATATCATTAATTTGCATAGCTTTGCATTTGACTTTCATGCAAAATTAAACTCAGAGTTCAATTAAAATAGATTTATTAAATACTAAAACACGCGCATATTACTATTATTTCATTGTATTTAATCAAACATCCAGTATCCATTGTATTTAATTAATCTTGAAATGTCATCAACGAAAGAATTAACTAAACAATGAAACAAATCATGGGGTGAAATTCAACCAATTACGATTAAAAAGTATTTTGGCATTTAATTTTGCATAGCTGACTTTAATTTAGAATTCTTTCTGGGAAATCTCTACATCACAATGCCTGCCGAAACGTCTTGCCAGATGTTAATGTCTGCAAGTACATCTCAAAATAAAGAACAATTTAAAAAAGTACTGAAGGCAAAATTTAAAGTGAAATGTTCGCAACTATTCATGCTGTGTATGATTTAGAACAGTAGTCTGATAGTTTCTGTATGTTAGCAAAACTGGCGCCAAAAGTCTGAAATATATTGTAAGCTCTCGCGGCAGTAAAATTTCTGGAAAGAGTGCTTATAAATTAAATACATTGCTCCAAATATAACTGAAATATAACTGAAATATAACTGAAATAGCTCCAAATATAACTGAAATAGCTTACGTATTCTAATCGTAGAAAAAAAAAACAGAATACAGTTTTGAAGGAAGATATAGACTATTCACCAAGATTTTAGTTTGATGGATTACACATAGATGCTTTAAAGTATTTATTATCAATTCACAGGTTACTCCTGAGTTTTAATTATGCAATAACTCGTTTACGGTATTTTAAACAGCAGTAAATATATTAAAGCCTCAAGGTGATTCTAGAATATCATGTATTATTACCTCAATGCTGAATATATTTGAAAGTTTTTTTCTAATAATACACAGGCTTCATTCATTGCTCATTAACTATAATTATTGTTGGTAACAATTACAAATGGATCGTAATACTTGCATAACGGCAACGTATATTACGATTATCAGCCTAAGAGAAAGGATACCTTTGTGCAGGACATTTAAAGGAAATGTGGTTTATCTTTACCTTTACAGGTCAGGAAAAACACAAGCGTCTATTCAGCCAACCCCTTCATCAAAATTCAAACTCCGAGCAAACTATTGACTTCAGCATTTTAATCATTCATCCACACGTGGACCTGGTAACAGCTATGAAATATGATGAGAAATATAGTATATTATCCTTCTTTGGCGAAAGCTTGAATAGAGAAACAAATAAAAATTAATCAACAGTCAAATTACATGCCTTAAATAATTTTACCTCTAAGAGTTGAGTTCTTAGACGCATTTCTGCAATCTTACCACCAAGTTCCTAAATGTAACTTTTGGAAGTTTCATATGCTATATCATACCTCCCATAGCTGAGAATTCACCATCTGGAGAGTTACTGCACTACAAAACAATAGCATGCGATTCCACCCAACGGTCGAATGAGTAAGATAACTAAAAGCTGGCTATCCGGGCGAACAGGCAGTCTGCATTACAGTTTCCGGGTTTGACGTTTTTCTCTTGTCTAATCCGATCATAGTCCAATTTTCCTTAGAAAGTACATGAAGGTAACCCTCCAATTAGACAGATAATCCTCGCGTGTTTTTCTGTAATGAATCTAATAAGCTATTGAGCACTTTACCAATTCCTTGCAAGTTTCAATTAGATTTCTGCTGCGTGATGGTTTCATACTAGAAAGCATGTCTTTTACAATTAAAAATCGATTTTCGATTTTTAATTGTAAAAGACACTAACAAGCGAATGCATTCTTATGGCTTATTAAGGAAACCTGGTCTATCACGCTAAATTCAGTACTTGCCAACTCATCTACAGTTTGCAAACTTGCAACCTACCATTTGACGCCCAGAAGATTGGTGTATTGTAAATACGGCAAAGCACACTAGGGATATCTGCCTAAAGGAAGGGATGCCTTCGTGGAGGACTTTCTAAGGGAAACTGGCTCGTATACACGTTACGCAGGGGGGAAACTACGAAAACGCCTATGCAGCCAGCCCGTTTGCGGGATTCGAACCTCGGGCCGAACTACAAGTGTTCAGCGATTTTACCGCTCGGCCGCTGGTGGGCCCTGACGCCCACCAGCTGACGGAGTGAAATAAAAAAATATATCATACGTGTTAAAACTTATCGGTTCTTCCTAGCATTTTTAAGCTCACCAAGAGTCTGATTAAGTAATTGTTAGTGCAGTGAATATAACACCGATGGACCTAACTTTAAATCTCGAGTTAGATTCAGTTTTGGGGCTGTCGTGTCTGTAACTATGACTATGTCAAATCTGAAAGTTTCTTGCATGGGAAATGGCAAAAAAAGAGGAATGATAACCTCGGAAACTCCCTCTAAGACCCAAATTGGGCTGGTATTTGACAGCTAAAATTACTGGCTTGCAGATGCTAAACAAATGTTAACGATTCCAGTGAATTCTAGTACACTGCTGGCCATTAACATTGTAACATGAAGGAAAGAAAATCCAAAAAAGATATATAATGTATATAAACAGTATGACCTGAAGACAAAATGATTAAATTTGTAAGCCGTTTGGGGGTTTACAGGGATGCGAAATTAGTAGAAGCAACTGCCAACTCTGGCAGCTAAAATGGCCATTATGTGGTTAGGCATGGAGTCGAACTAGGCTTAGAATACAGAAACGGGCAACTTATTCCAAGCTGCTTTAAGTCTATGCCACACTTCATCACCCGTATTAGCTGGAGAGGGTTGGTGGGCCTGTCTCTCAGCAACCAATGACCGGATGTTTTCAATGGGTGACAGATCTAGAGACCGTGCAGACCAGGACAGGAATAGAATATCCTGTGCATCGAGAAAGATCAGAACGAGACATACAACATGTGGTCTTGCATTATCTTGTTAGAAGATGGCGTTTGCCAGTCCTAGAAGACAGGGCACAACCACTAGATCTAAGATGACAGAAATGTACCTATTTGTGTTCAGATTACTCTCGATCCGAACTAGATATGTGCGTGTCATGTACCCAATGTCTGCCCAAACTATCACACTAGGTCCAGGGCCCCTATGCCGATATCGAATGCAAGAAAGCGACGTGTGGTCTTCTCGAAGTGTCCAGAAACATATACGGCCATCCGAATACTGCACGCGAAACCGGGACTCATCTGAAAAGACGACATTGTACCACTCCTGTATCCAGCTTTGTCGTTCAGCGCACCAGAATCGCCGTCTCTCTTTATGCTGCATTTTCAAGGGAAGCCGAAGTAATGAGCGCAGTGCTGATAGTCCACGCTGATGGTAACATCGACGAACCATACGAGCGGATACTGGGAGTGCTGCAAACATGCCTATCTCCTGATTAATGGTCCATGATGTGGTTGTACGGTTTTGCAGGACTGACCTCGCAATATGTCTGCCCTCTCTGGCATTATTCATGGGAGGGCGTTGAGATCCAGCATGCCGTTAAGTATGACCCTCTTCAACCCACTGATTCCATATTCGCATGACAGTTGTTGGATGTCGACCAGTGCGACGGGCGATGTCACACTCTCGATAAGCAAGGATCCTGCTTCTATCGAATTCCGACACTTCCTTCTAAGCATTTAGACTTCTTATTCGAGGCATAACACGATATTCTAATCAAACTCAGACCTTACAAAGCACTTTCCCAATGAGAAATCCACTACATGCAGTCGTTTTTAATAGCATAATTGATTGTTTAGTGGTGTGATTGATTTAGGTGTTCATATATTCAGTTCAGGTTTTATACGGATTTAAAGTGAGAGAGTCAATATAATTTCAGTCGTAAAAAAATGACTCAGGTCTCTGAAAACCTGCAAATATATATTTAATTCTTCACACAATTCATGCATTTATTGACATTAAAACTGTTGAAATGTGATGCATTATTACAAATTTCTCATTAGATAATGAATACTCAAGTATTTAAACGTAGGTATCTAATAAACAGAAGTATGTTATTATCTCATCAATTCTAGAAAGAAATAATTAACAGTACATTAAATCATTTTAATATGTTTAATCTCTTCTCATAGAGACCTCTTAGTTTTAAAATTATAATAATAACATGAAACTCCCAAATCCTCGTCGCCTTTCAACGCTTGAAAAATCAAAAACTCTAAAAGAGCGCCCCGGTTAAAGTTAACCAGAGTAAATTTTTAAAGAAAATCTTCAAGCAGAATCTGGACAAGTTTTATTGATTAGGCGAAGTTTCTTAGAATTTCTTCCGCACTGTGGTTCTTGAGGTCATCTAAAATGTCTCATCTTACGCTGTGATGCAACAAAGCAGTTAAAATGTGGTCTTTGTTGGTATTAATGGAAGTGGGAAGGAGCTTCTTTGAATCCATAGCATACGCAACGTGTGCGACAAGAAGCTCAGGCAGAACAAATTAATTAAAATCTCCCATAGTTGTTTGTTCCCTATTATTGGACGATTTAAGCCCGGCGCGGCTAAGATAAATGGAGTGAGGATCGATTTCGCTACAGAGCGCTAATTTCGTTGGACTATGCACTTATTGCTGTTTCGTTTCTCATAGGTATGAATAAAATAGACTAAATTATACCGATATTTAGTTTTTAATTAATTTTCTAATTTACGAGCGGCATAAAAAGCAACAAGTTTAGCCCGTCATGTAGGTTATGTTAAACCGAGACTATGATTATAAGGGAAATATAATATAGAATTGTGTAAATTTTAAATAAAGTTAAATTAAATTTTGATGTATCAGTTAGATGATGGTATAGAAAACGATTTCAAAAGCTTTTGAGACTTACAAGGAGCATATAAAGTGTTTGGAATGCATCAGATTTTGATCAGAAAACCTATTCTCCAGTATGAGTAGACTACTACCACATTCATCTGCTTCCCTTAGACTTTTAAATCACTTTTGCGCATGCTCGTTATTTATAGTGCAGACGTCATAATGATCTCACAATGAATTAATCCAGTTTCTTCTCAGGAAGTATCATTATTTACGTTAATTACATTCCTTACATTTAAAATCGGGCACATAACACAACTCATAATTTTTTGTTATTTTAAAATGAAATTTATTTTATACTGTACTATAATTCTCTACGCTATCTTCGTATAAATCTAGTTCATGTGCTACAACTCACTGTAGAGATTAACTCTACATTTTAAGACTAATTGTAAAAATTTAGTTAATACTTTTAGACGCATTGTATAAATTTAGTCAATATTTTACGAAGGAGAGATATCCCAGTAAACATATACAGTAGAATTATGCATATATTTTGAGACACATAGAAGTATTACTCATTTTTTTTCAATAATATAGTATATTTTAGGCTTCCTGAGTAATGGCTGAAATATGGAGTTTTTGAACAAATATTATTCAACAGCAGGAAAAGACGAAGGCAATATCTCTAACACAACAGAGAGAGCATTTTAGCGAAGAATTTTCTAAACATAGTTGGTGGGATGTGGATAAAAATGACGAAGGCTTTTTAATTTTGAGATGCACTCCTTTCTCAAATGCGGCCCACCAGTTGCCCAGTGGTAAAATCGCTGAACACTGGTTGTTCCGACCTGGTTACGAATCCAGGCGAGGAGGATGGCCGTATGGGCGTTTTCGTGATTTTCCTCATGTGCAACGTGTATTCGAGCGAATTTCCCTTAGAATGCCCTCCACCGAAGGCGTCCCTTTGCTTAGGCAGATAGCCCTAGTACGCATTGCCGTAATAAATTAAATCAAACCAAATCTTCCTGAAATGCCCATCGGTTGGCTAAAGGATGCGATATCCGGACACTGGCAATTTTCCTTAGAACCAAATCGCAACGAATTTACGATGTGCAGGGGCATTATGGGTTTTTCTTCATATGGAACATGGATAGAAGCAGTTTTCCTAAGAACGTCCTCCTCTAAGGCATTCCATTCGTTAAACCTAAGGCGCTTTGAAATATTTATCTAAATCCGATTCAATCTTTCGCAAAGGAATTTCAAATTGAATATTGTTTACATTACACTTGAAAAAATCGATATAAACTCAGTACTGCAAGTTCTTTCATAAGAAACCGAAAGCGGCCTTAATCTTGAAACCACTCATATCACAGAGCTGACTGTACGACATTTAAATTTTTTTTTAGAATGCGCTCTACAAATACATGACATTTCTTAGCCAAAGAGCCCTTGTATATTTTCCTTTAATCAAATACCCTATTAACAGAGAACAATGCCCCTTTGAATATAACACCTTCCTTACATTTCAAAAATATTAATGAAACATTGTTACCTATTTGTTTCTAGGCATAACAATAACCAGTGTAGTGGATGCAGGGTAAAGTGAAGTCGCTCAACTATTATAATTAGAGATAATTAATTATAAGAGTTGAGCTACTATAATGGCTACTGTAATTATCGTTAGTTACATAGTTTATAAAAAATGGAGCAAAAATGGACAAATTTGGATTTTATATTCCAGTAAATAGGATATTTTGATTTTATGAATTGTAATTGTTGCAATATGTTCGTGAATTAATTTCTGTTACTATGAGACGAAAAATAAAATTTTATTCTTCTTATATTTGCTGTTGAACATGTCTTTACATACCCTGTGGTGCTTAAGAAGAAAGTTCAAATGAAAAGGAAAGATTATTTACAACTGACAAATATAAATAAACGGCTAATCTTTGGAATATGGTAACAGGTAGTTCGGCGACATTTTGGTAAGGCAATAAGGTTACTAGCTAGGACTTTAGCAGTGGCAGAGCAGTGTATAAAGTCAAGAGTGTGCGCAATGCCATTTTTGTGCAATTCTGGGATGTTTAAGTGAAAATAGTTCGACGTGTACATGGATACCGTGTATGTGCAATTCTTAAAACGCGGCAAGCAGTTTGCGATTTGCACTTCTCCCAATTTCGCACCTAATCTTCGTCATGATTAAGCACTTTGTTTCATAAAAGTTCTAGAATAAGCGTTCATCGGCTAGCAGATGTTTGAAAAAATGTTGAGTTAAAAAAAAGAAAAACATGCCTTTACCTTAAACTAAAACTTTACTTAAAAGAATATGGCGTCCAAACAAAAACTAGCAGGTTGCTGTAGCAGGGTTGGTCGCCAAATTTCCCCCCCCCCAAAAGCGGCAAGTTACCATAATCCAAAGATTAACCAAATAGACTTCAAATTCTTAGATTACCGAAATATTAAATTAAGTCTTTATAATGCGGATAAACCAGCGTCTCCAATGGTATTTACGTACAAAAGATGCCATCTTGGCGCAATTTGTCGGTTTTTTTACGGATGAAAATGTAAAAGTGTAAAAGCTACTTAACATGGGCAAGTTAGTAGGTTTCTCGCCTTCATTTTTAGAAGGATTCCAAAACTATCGGTGTTTATAGGTAACCTTAGTAAACAATATCAAATATATGAAAAATGAAACAAATTTGAGCAATTTAAAATACAAATTAGAATTATTAAAAAAGGATTATAGCGTAGAATAAAAAATGTAAAAATAAGACACTTACATTCTTCTTCGACTCTTTCTGTATTTTTTGGAGTTATTATTCTCCCGAAAAACACAGAGATTTGGTTTCACTCAAAAAACATCAGAGAACTGCGAAGACTCGGCTTCATGCAATCTTCGGCAACAGCAGCCATCTAAACACGCACTTCCTTGTTTTCCCCTTTAGAAATTTTCAGCGAAATTTCTGTATTGCTGTCGAAATTTTACCGAAGCTTCTTGCATTACTGGCAAATTCCACAAACTCATATTTTAAAACTAAGTATAAAGCAAATAATATCACGATCTGTGCATAAAAACCTTTGGAATTACGGCGTTGCTTGACTGAAGCGACTGTTATGAGCATGGTTGTCGAAAGAATGGTTATGCGCATGTTTGCCACAGTTTGGTATTTTCTGAAAATTTGGCTACTTCTACTAAAATGGTTGTGATAGCATGTAAGTACCCCAACTTCTAGTGAAATTGATTTAGCATGTCCTCCGCATTTTAGAATGTTTAAGAAACTGTTCCTTATAAAATTATATAGTAAACTAGAAGACATAATAATGCATATCATGCTTTTATTATTTGTAAAAGAAATTATGATTAAATTAACAGTTGTAATGAGAATAAACCATTCACATTTAACCACTTTCGCTCTTTATTTAACGCCTTTGAATCTATAAATCTTAAGAATATAAAATCATTTTAACTGTTATATTCGTGCTCGGCATACCAGACTGGTAGGCTAAATATGATTGCTTTTGTTTCGGAAATAATTTGGTCATTGGTTTGTGGAAACCAAACTAGATTTTTGTCACTATTTTAGTGACGAACCCTTCACTTGTTAGGAATGTAACTTCGACTTATGCATCCAGTTTCCACAGTAAACCTGCAAGTGGCGGATTAATTACATTGGCATAGCTTCGCTAATGAACGATGAAATTTGTAGGCGATAACTCTTTGCAGTTTGAATGCTTTAATTTAATGGTGGTCTACTCTCGGAATCCACAACTGTCCATCGGGAACACACATTTAGAATTTTCCTGGGATTACAGAACGGAACTATGATTTCATTAGCGTAAGATTACACGAATATTCTACCCGCGTACCGATGAGATACGTAATTTAAATGGATAATAATTGCGATGAATGGCAGCGAGACATGTCTGGCTCTGATGGAAATTGTTAATCACCACGGTCATGAAAGTTGTCCCCAATTAATACGGTAAGCAGCTTTTTAATGTAATTCGATGCCAAAGACCAGCATAAGATATTATTACCCGATCGTTTCATTTTATTTATTCATTTGACACAGAGTCAGTATTCAATTCAAACATGTTAATCCTTGGAAGAATGCAAAGCAATTTTATAATTTTGATAGGATAAAAGGAAACAGCGAGAGCTGTTACGTTATGCATTTACTATAAGGCTTTTGAAAAGTAAAGCACCAAGAAACTAGTGTTTTGAAAAAATTCTTCAAAAACATTATTTTCGAAACTTTCGGCCAAATATTATAGTAATTCTGTTTAATTAACTTCATATCTGTACTATAATAAAAATACGTGTTGAAAATCAATTTACTTATGTCTATAATACATAACGAAGTACTAAATTGGAACTTGAAATGTAAGTTTCTCAATTTTGTGATTCGCAAGGTTTTATATTATATAGGACATTTTAGCTCAGAAAATAAAAGATCAAATATTTTGAAACTTTTGTTAACAGGCATTCTCATGTATGATGGGGATACCATACATTTTCCTTTAGAAAGTTCCCCATAAGAGCATCATCTAAACATAAAAAGGATTCGAATGAAAAATTAAAGGCAAAGTCATGCTTTTAGAGCCATTAATTAGTTTAAATCGAGTTAATGGACGACAGTTTAATACTGAAAAGTGTTTATATTTTAAAAATAAATAAATAAAAATAAACATGTGAGAAAATCTTAAAAAATGTTGGTACTTTTCAGTTTTGCCGGCGCAAGCGATAAAGTCGCCAATAATGGTACAACCGATGCCAAACGGAATATTCTCGCTGGTAATCTTTTACACCCTCATTTTCAAAACAAGTCGCAGCTTTTTCTTATCAGATTGATTGTTTCTTTTAATACTGGAATATAATTACATAGAATTTTTATCAGATAGTTCAGTTTTATGTCTAAGGCCATTTTCGGTAATTAAGTCAATTAGGATGCAATCACAGCTCTTACCCGAAGCCGAAAATATAGAAAAGGAAAGTCAAGGGTTAAATTCATCAATTCTAATGAGAATGCATTAGTGAATTCGTACGCATTGAAATATTTCTTGCATTTAAACTTGTGTTCCAAATTAAGATTTAACTTGAAATTAATGTAGATAATTACTGAGAGCATTAGATTTTTGTAGAGTAGTTTACGTGAGATGAGATCGCTTGGGGTCACGTGATATGAACCGACGAATCAGAAATGTTGAACCGTGAAAGCATAGTAAATTCTTAAATTAATGTCTTTTTACAAATTTATTGTCTTTATTTATTGGCTTTTTATAAAGTTTTAAGCGATATTAAAATGTTTATGCCTTCAAAAAAAGAATTGTTAGAACTAAAATTTTTTAAATATTTTTTATGGGTATACTGTATGTTGTCGCCAATAAAGTTTGCTTGGCGAGATTTGCGCCGGCGAAACGGAAAAGTACCAAAATGGTTTTAACTGAGTTTTTTTCTTCTTGTCGAGTTTAAAAAAAAATTCTCTCAATATATCGTAAAAGTAAAATTAAATGAAAAACTTTGGTATCTGTCCTCTTAGATAAGATTATATACTTTGATACTTGGTTTTTATACCGGCCTGCAGCCGTGATAGTGTTCCCTACTCTTGCCACTTATTGAAAGAGTCCCATTAGGGCCTGACCTGTGATGCAACCGTAAAAATATTCTCCAACAGAGTTAAGTACCTAACGGAGAAAGAAGAGATTGAAGCGCTTTGCTTCTAAAATTGAAGACTCGGGGAGGTCTGGAGACGGCGTGGATGGAGGTAGTTTCTCAGAATTCACGCATTTGCAAAGACACAGTATCAAACTGAACAGTAAAAGCAGTAAGGAATTATGCTTTCTCACTGGTCACCCTGATTGTTCAGTGTAGTACGCAGCAAATGAGCCGTGTAAGGCCTAAAATATCTATCTTCCTCGAAAATAAGGTAAGATTATTAAAACAAATCACAACTTTGCAAGTAATTATTTATTATCTACGTACATATTATTGTATTCATATTTTGTGTTTTATTTAAAATATATCTCGAAATTTTATAAAAATTATAATATATCGTTTTATGTATCTCTAAAATGAAATTATAAATCTACTAATGAGAGTACTATCTTTTCTTCTTCCAATTGTTCTAGTGGAAATTTCTTCGCGATCGTTTTAAAAACAGATTCACAACAATTGTTACATTTAGCGAGTTGGCGGCCTACAAAAATTAGTAATAATGCCACAAATCCACGTTTTAAGATATTGCATTTAGTGAATCCTTTTTTAAGTAGACTATAATAATTTTCAATGTCCCATATATCTAGACATTGCGTTAATTTATCATTCTGCAAAAATGAAATTTTGCTACTTTACTCAAACTTAGATTGGCATAAAAACTATTGGCTTTCAATGCTTCTTGCAGGCAAGTAAAATGCTTGCAGCAATTGCAAACGGTATGATTTCGAAAGCAATCGCCGTCGCAAATTCTTTGAAATTGTTGTCATCAGAATACCAAGTTTGCGGCTAATGTGATTTGTTGACTTTTAGGGCCTTTATGAATAATTCATGTTTTCAATTACTTAGTTACAGGAATATGGTCGGTTTGGAGTTCGCATTTTGCACAGGTAACTAATGTTTTTAATCTTTTTACTGACAATGGGCAGATATATGTCTCATCAAATTGATGACCTGCTGGAATATAATAAGGATCTGAATTAGGATTTAATGATACGACTTTGGTGCCATTACACGTTTGACCCATCGCCCTAAACTATAAGTCAAAAAATCGTTTGGTAAAATCCTAGTATACGGAACAGTTTTGGCACGATTTTGAAAATTATCGCCAACACCAAAAATGATCCAAAGAAGGTCTATATTCTATACAATATATACTATATATAACTATATATATTCGGTACTTACGTATTATCGCAACCAGGTTGACGTTATTCGTAAGTTTTGACGCTATTTGTAAGTTTGAGTAAACAAGTATGAATAGAAAGAAAATGTACATTTATTAATTACAGATAATTTTTAATACAGTTTTTTATATTATTTTCTTTTAAAATATAAAATAGCAATTAAACCCTTCCGGTTTCGAATTTGAATAAGTTGCAGAATTATTTTTTCGGCGGAAATCTTTTGGCTATTGCTTTTAGCACTGATTAAAAACCGTATTCGCCATAACCATGTACACGTCGACTTATTTTTACTTAAAAAAACATCCCAGAATTGCACAAAAATGGCATTGCGCACACTCTTCACTTTATCCATGTACACTGCTATTTTCTCATAAATTACAAAAATTTGCACGAAAATGCAGGAAAAAATTGTGAATCTCCAGATGCTCTTTTTACAAAACTACGTATAACACGTAGGGTTGCCAAATTTCGCAATTTATGCGAATTTTGACCTGGTTGTGATAATACGTAAGTGCCATATATTCTTTGAATAATCCGTTTACTACTTATCGTACATGTCCCGTTTTTACTGCTCATCATAAAGTCGCCAAAAGTAGCCAAATCCGGTGTGCACCGGATACTAGGATTAAACCAATCGTTTTTCGTTAAATACGTATTCCATAGAGCTGGAACACACTCCGACGAATTTGCCTACGTTTTATAGAAGAAAAGGTAAAAGTTACTTATAGGGTGCAAGCTGGTGGTTTTCGAGTCATTTTTAAGAAAGATTCCCAAACTATCGATATTTATCGTATTATCAACATATGAAAATAGAACATACGGTAAAAGTATACTTTAGGGTACCTCTGGCGAAACTTGGCGATTTTTGGCGGTATATGGATACCGAATATGTGCAATTCTTTGACTTGTTATTTTGGCTTGCGTAGCGGGAATTTTTGGAGCAAAAATCGCCGCTACACAAATCCAAAATAGCAAAACAAAGAATTGCACACACTCGGTACCCATGTACACGTCGACCTATTTTCACTTAAAACAAATCCCAGAATTGAACAAAAATGACATTGCACACTCGCTTGACTTTATCCATGTACACATCGACCTATTTTTGCACTTAAAAAATCCGAAAATTTCACAAACTAAGCTTTGCGCACTCCCTTGACTTCGTCCATGTACACATCGAACTAT